CAACAGTATGGATAGTAGAGTCCAAGCAGCTAAGATCATGAAGAAGAAAGTCATAGGGTCCAGGAAAATAGGAAAGATGCGCATGTGTATAAGTTGATGGAGTTGAGATTCCCAGATGTATGGTGAGCAAAGGAGGGGTTAATAGGATCTGGAGGAAAGGATTATTCCTGATGCTGTAATGGAAAGTTTCAAGAACTTTGCAGCATGATCAGGACTTTTTTTTCCCTTTATTCAATAATGGGATAAGGGTGTTGCTGGCTAGGCAGTGTTCATTGCCCATCCCTAATTCCCTAGAGGGCAGTTCAGAGTCAACCACATTGCTGTGGATCTGGAGTCACATGTAGGCCAGACCAGGTAAGGATGGCAGTTTCCTTCCCTAAAGGACATTAGTGAACCAGATGGGTTTTTCCTGACAAATCGGCAATGGATTCATGGTCATTATTAGACGCTTAATTCCAGATATTTATTGAATTCAAATTCCACCATCTGCCGTGGTGGGATTCAAACCCGGGTCCCCAGAACATTACCTGGGTCTCTGGATTACAGTCCAGTGATAATACCACTAGACCATCACCTCCCAGGATGCATCATGTGTCTTCTAAGGATTAAGGAACACTAAGGTGATCAAATTACATGAAATATTGCCCAAGAATATTTTTACCTGTCCATTTTCTCAAGTCCATGCCTATTTGGAACATAATATAATTCATTCAATAGAAACTGACCAGTGTGGCTAGAATGTGCTCTTGAGAAGTGTTGAAATCATTTCAATATGCAACAACAAAATGCATTATTTCAAGAAGAATGAATTCTTCTGAGATTTGGATTCAGTGGGCTATCTTTGTAAAGTTTAAAAATTGGCAGCAAATGACAAACTCTTGTGGCTGGCAGACTTAACAGCAACGTATAGGTGAGAACATCACAATTAAACAATAACTTCATCTGGTGCTAAGTGGATAAGATAATGAAAGACCTTTGTGTCTCTTAAATCATCATTTGGCATTCTGCAGTGACCTCTATCGGCAGAATCGACATGTTGCTACTCATAAAGGAAAAATGATTTTTCCTTCTTTGTCCATTTATCTTAATTCAACTTAAGAGCTAAACAGGTGGAGGAAAGGGAACTGCTGTGTCTTGGCTGCTGGTTTGATTCCTTGTTAAATTTATTCATGTCAACTGCAAACTCTAAACCAGATACAGTTGCCTACTGTCTGCTTTTAGACCAGGTTTGAGCAGAACATCTAGAAGTGCCTAAAGTCAGTCTCTCCTATGCCTTTACTTCTACTTAGAATCTTAGCTTCTGTGGTAATTGCCAATTCTGATGAGAACATTGAGTTTTATCTATTTATCCTGTTCATTTTTTTATTGTTTTTGATTTTGTCATGTACTGAAATACAGTCAAAAGCTTTGTTTACGAGCAATACAGGTAGATCACAGCAAGCAAAGGATGTACAGATCAAAAAGACTTAGAGGCAAACAGGTTACATTATCTGAGGCTACAGTCCATTCATCAGTTTGATAACAGCCAGAAAGATGCTGTTCCTGAACCTGCTTGTGCGTGTGTTCAGGCTTCTGTGTCTTCTGCCTGATGGAAGAGGTTGTAGGAGAGCATTACCAGGGTGCAATGGGTCTTTGATGATGTTGGGAGCCTTTCTGCAGCAGCGAGTCATGTAAATGGAGTCCATGGATGGAAGATTGGCTTCTGTGATGGTCTGGGCTGTGCACACCACCTTCTGTAGCTTCTTACTGTCCTGGGCAGAGCAGTTGCTGTGCCAGGCCGTTATGCACCCAGACAGTATGCTTTCAATGGTACATCTGTAGAAGTTGGTGAGTGACCTTATGGACATGCCAAATTTTCTAAGCTGCCTGAGGAAAAGGAGGGGTTGTTGTGCCTTCTTGACTGGTGCATCTACATGGGAAGTCCAAGACAGGTTGTCGGTTATCGTCACTCCGAGGAACTTGGTGCTTAAAGTTTTGGCAAAGACCCGTAGCTCGGGTTGTGGGTGAGGTTGTTGACTTGCTTGCTGAGTTGGTTTGTTTTTGTTCAGACATTTTGTCACCATGCTAGGTGACATCATCAGTGGAGCCTCCAATGATGTGATGTTATTCTACTCCGCTTGAAATTTATATTGTCTGGTCCGTTATGGTGAGCACTGTCATTTCTGGTTTTGATCTGTATAGGTTTATATATGGGGTCCAATTCTATTTGTTTGATTGCATTATGGATGGAGAATTATGCCTCTAGGAATTCCTGTGCGTGTCTATGTTTGGCTTGGACTACTATGGTTACCTTGTCCCAGTTAAATTAATGGTCTTCATTGTCTGAGTGTACTGATATTAAGGAGAGTTCATCATGCCGTTTTGCTGCTAGTTGATGTTCATGTATTCTGATGGCTAGCTTCCTTCCTGTCTGTCCGATGTAAAGTTTGTGGCAGTCGTTGCATGGTATTTTGTATACCACGTTCCTTCTGTGTGTTGTGGGAATGGGGTCTTTAATCCATGTAAGTGTTTGTTGCAGAATGGCTGTCGGCTTGTGGGCCACCATGATTCCTAGTGGTCTTAGGAGTCTTGTTGTCAGTTCTGATATGTTCTTGATGTCGGGCAATGTGGCCAGTGTGTTAGGGCGTACTGTGTCCTCTTCTTGTCTGTTTTGTAGGCATCTGTGGATGAAGTTTCAGGGATATCCGTTTAAAGCACGGATCTTGTATAAGTGTTCTTCTTCTTTCCTGTGTAGTTCTGGAGTGTGCTGTTCACTCTCTCAATCTCAGTTCCATTGATGTAGATGGGGGCGCGTATCCTCATTTCTTTCTGAAGTTGATGATCAGTTCTTTAGTTTTGCCGACGTTGAGAGACAAATTGTTTTCATTGCACCGCGTCACCAAGCCCTCTATCTCCCTTCTGTAGTTTGACTCGTCATTGTTAGGTATCCGACCTACTACAGTGGTGTCATCAGTGAACTTATAGATGGCGTTTGTTTGGAATTTGGCAACACAGTCAGAGATATACAGGGAGTGTAGTAGGGGGCTGAGGACACATCCTCGAGGGGGCGGGGGGGCTGCAGTGTTGAGTGTTATTGTTGATGAGGTGCATCTTGTTTTAAATTACTTCTTTCTGCTAACTCTGTGACCGAGGAAACAAATAAGTTACATTATTTTAGCACCTTTTACGACATCAATACATCTCAAAGTGCTTCATAGAAAATGTAGATCTTTTATGTTTTTACAAATGCAATCGATGTTGTAATGCAAGGAAGATGATTTGATTTAGTACACAAACTTCCCTGCTCCTTTTCATATTTTGCAATAGTGGCCCTATTGTAAAAAGGTAAAATCATCAGCCTCACCAGACCAGACATTAAAGGGGGAAGAGATCACTGGTAGTGGTTTAACCCAAGGGTCACCGTACCTCAGGCAGAGAGAGAGGGTCTTCATGGTAATCTCTGCTACTGTGGGAATTGAACCTATGCTGTTGGCATCACTCTACATTACAAATCTACCATTCAGCCTGTTGAGCTTACCGACCCTAGGTTATTGTTCTGGGATATGGATTCAAATCCCTCCATGGCTGATGGACAAACTTGGTTTCAATGAAAATCTGGAATAAAAAGCTAACCTAATGGTGACCATGTAGCCACTGCCGACTAGTCATTAATACACATCGTAATGCAATTAAGGATGAGAATTAAATGCTGGCCTAGTCAGTGACGCTGTCATCCAATGGGCAAGTTTTTTAAAAACATGGTCAGTGAATGAGGCCTTGATTTAACAGCATATCTGATTGTACTGCACTCCATGAACAGAAGCTTGTCCCATTCCACTACAGACTTTGGTGACAAGAGAGCATTTAATCAGGTTGGAAAGTGGTGGTTGGGACCCAGTTCATCATCTCACAGACCACCCCCCACCACCAACCTGATTAAGACATTTTCTAAGCAGGCTGTTCAGAGATATTACTACACACCTCTGAAGCAGGTAGGGCTTAAATTCTGGCCTCCTGGCTCAGAGGTAGGAACACTATACAGTGCAACAAGAACCCTCTCCTTTGACTTGATTAAATCCCTGCTGTCAATTGAAGCACTTAAGTGGGCAATTAATGACCACTTAAGGGCCTCATCTTGCTGCTGCTGCTGGGAGTGACCATACCTCTGAGCCAGGAGGCCCTGGTTCAAGTCCCACCTGCTCCAGAGGTGTGTAACAACATCTGAACAAGTTGGTTAAAGATATCTTGCTGCTGCTATTAACCCAGCAGTGGACAGAGGAGTCCCATACAGGGAAGACGACAATCAAATTTGGGACATTTTTGCCCATGAATGCCTGAGGTTTCCTAATTCAATTGCTGCCTGATTGAAGAACCCAGCACCAGGAAGTGTATGCCTGTAGAAAGCCACAGCCCTGGTCTTGCTGCTGGAACTGATCCCTGACCCCAATACCTGTGACCACCCCCACTACCTATTACTCACCTCTGGCCTGGGGTCATCAGATGTCACCTCCCTGATGCCTTCATTGAGGCAAAGCACCAACTTTATGCAGGTCAATGTACAGTATAATGGGAGTGTCACATCCAGTTTGTGGCACAGGTGGGCCAGCTGCCCCACATCCAGCTTCAAATCCCAGGTCAAAAAGTACAAGCGAGAACAGGGCTTTGTTTTAATGTGAACCTGTCCACCAGATTGACCCAAGTTCAGTCAGAGTCAATAAAATGAGCTATTTAAAAGGTGCCTGTGGCTAACCTCCAAAATGATTAGTCCATTGTTATTTATAAAACTCAAGAAAACACCATTCCACAGAAAGTTAGCACCAAGCTGAAGGGCAGGCCCAGTTCACAATTTCCGCGGGGATCTAATTCACCTTTACTCGTGAATCTCACTGCCTTTATTTTTCTTTGAACACCTCCGTTTTATTTTAAAGCTGAACATTGCTTCAAAAGCTGTTGGTTTCTTGTAGGTGTCAATGAGGAATGACTCTCGTCTCATAGAAGTGCCTTTCTCTTTGTTCCTATAGGTGATTTTAACTTATGGGATTTGATTCAAACGACTCCAGCTCCTCGTAAACCCACAAAGTCTCCCAAAGCCACCAAAAAACCACCGAAGAAGGGAAACTCTGGTAAGTCTCCCCAACCCCCCAACCCCCACAAGTACTGAAGTTTTAGGTTGTAAAACGGTGAGAGGTGACAGCCTTGATACAGAGTTGTGGATCTTATTTACAGAGGACCATATCGTTAGTTGCAATTTTTGTTGATCATACAGGGTTGTTTATATAATCAGTGCCTGTTCCATACATGCAGCTCCTCTCTTTAAGACCTCCTGGATAAGTGTGAGATAGCAGGGGGAAGCAAGAATAGGAGAACCTTGGAAAGTAATGAAGATTCAGGGGACCTTGATGTGCATATCCACAGATCCCTGAAGTTGATAGGAGAGATAGATAAGAAGGTCTATGAGATGCTTGCCTTTATTGGCTGAAGCATAGAATACAAGAGCAGGGAGGTTATGCTGAAACTGTGTGTAATATTAGTTATGCAACAACTGGAGTACTGTGTGTAGTACTGGTCATATTACAGGAAGGATGTAATTACACTAGAGAGGGTGCTGAGGGAATTTAGCCAGGATGCCGCCTGATCTGGAGGAACTGAGCTACAAGGAAAGATTGGATGTTGTTTTTCTTGGAGCAGCAATGGTTGAGAGGGGACCTGATAGAGGTTTATGAGGGGCATAGATAGGGTAGATAGGAAGATACTTTTCTATGAGTAAAATAGTCAGTATCCAGGGGCATAGTTTTAGGGAACGAGGTAGAAGGCAAAGAGGGAAGCTGAGGAAAACATTTTTTCACTCATAGGATGTTGGAAGCCTGGAATTCACTGCCTGAAAGACTGGTTGAATTATACAGTCAGAGTCATACATCACAGAAACAGATCCTTCAGTCCAACTCATCCATGCTAACCTGATATTCTAAATTAATCTCGTCCCGTTTGCCAGCATTTGGCCCCATATCCCTGTAAACCCTTCGTATTCCTATACCCATCCAGATGCCTTTTAAATGTTGTAATTGTACCAGCCTCCACTACTTCCTCTGGCAGCTCGTTCCATACACACACCACCCTTTGTGTGGAAAAAGTTTCCTGTCAGGTCCTTTTTAAATCTTTCCCTTCTCACTTTAAACTTATGCCCTCTAGCTTTGGACTCGCCCTCCCCAGGGAAAAGACCTTGTCTATTCACCCTATCCATGCCCCTCATGATTTTATAAAACTCTATAAGGCCATCCCTCAGTCTCCAATGCTGCAGAGAGAAAAACTATAGCTATTCAGCCTCTCCCTATATCTCAAACCCTCCAATCCCAGCAAAATCCTTGTAAACCTTTTCTGCACCCTCTCAAGTTTAACATCGTCCTTCCTTTGGAAGGGTGACCAGAATTATGCACAGTATTCTAAAAGTGGTCTCACCAATGTCGTGTACAGCTGCAACATGGTATCCCAAGTCCTATATACAGCGCGCTGACCAATGAAGGTAAGCGTGCCAAGCACCACCTTCACCACCCTGTCTACCTGTGACTTCAATTTCAAGGAACTATGCACCTGCACCTCTAGGTCTCCTTGTTCGGCCACATTCCTCAGGGTCCTACCATTAAGTGTATAAGGCCTGCTCTGGTTTGCCTTTCCAAAATGCAACATCTCATATTTATCTAAATTAAACTCCATCTGCCACTCCTCAGCCCACTGACCCATCTGATCAAGGTCATGTTATACTCTGAGATAATCTTCACTGTCAACTATACCACCTATTTTGGTGTCATCTGCAAATGTACTAACCATACCTTCTATGTTCACATCCAAATCATTTCTATAAATGACAAAACACTGGACCCAGCACTGATTCTTGTGGCACACTGCTGGTCACAGGCCTCCAGTATGAAAAGCAATTCTCCACCACCACCTTCTGTCTCCTACTTTCAAGCAAATACTGTATGCAATTGCTAGTTCCCCCTGGATCCCATGTAAACTAACCTTACTAACTAGTCTACCATGCGGAACCTTGTCAAACACTTTGCTGAAGTCCATATGGACAACGTCTACCGCTCTGCTTTCATCAATCTTCTTTGTCACCTCTTCAAAAAAGCTATATTGACTATCCCTAATCAGTCTTGGCTTTTCCAAATGTACGTAAATCCTGTCCTTCAGAATCCCCTCCAACAACTTAACCTACGTAAGGCTCACTGGTCTATAGTTCGTCGGCTTTTCCTTACAGCTTTTCTTAAACAATGGCACCACCTTAGCCAACCTCCAGTTTTCCAGCACCTCACCTGAGGCTGTTGATGATACATATATCTCAGCAAGGGGCTCACTAATCTCTTCCCTAACTTCCCACAAACTTCTGGGAAACATCTAATCAGGTGCCAGGGATTTGCCTAACTTTATGCGTTTTAAGACTTTCAGCACCTCCTTTTCTGTAACATGAAATCTTTTCAAGACATCACCATTTATTTCCCCAAGTTCCCTAGCTTCCATGTCCTTCTCCACAGGAAATACTGACGCGAAATATTCGTTTACCCATCCCCTGTGGCTCTACACGTAAAGAGTTAGAAACTGTCATAGCATTAAATCAATCACAACTCGTAGGAATATCTACACATAGTCTCCAGGGCTATGGATCAAGAGCTGGAATATTGGATTAGTGGAATCAGACCTTTGTGAAGGGGCATGGACACGATGGAGGGAATGGCCTCCTTCTGTGCTGTATACATCTGAGTCTGTTGACCATCATTATTAGTGTATGCTAAATTTTTCCAAATCTCATTTTGGATTCACACTTTAACATCAGTGAGTCCTACGTTGGAGCCCTGCCTGAAACACTGATTCTTGTAGACAGTAAGGACTAGAAATGCTGGAAGCCAGACTAAATAGATGTGAAGCTGGAAAAGCACAGCAGGTCAGACTGCATCCAAGGAGCAGGAAAGTCAACGTTTCAGGCTGAAACCTTTCCTCAGGACCGGGGAGGAGGAGGGGATCCCACAAGTAAATAGAGGGAGGGGTGTGGGGCTGGCGGAAGGGTAGGTGGGAAGGTGATAGGCTGATGCAGGTAGGGGGTTATTCCCCTCCTCCGTAATTAAGGATGCCCTGGACTGCCTCTCTTCCATTTCCCACACTTCCGCCCTCAAACCTCCTCCCCCCAACACCAATAATAGAGTCCCCATAGCCCTCACATACCAGCCCACCAAACTCTGAATCCAGTGCATCATCCTCTGACATTTCAGCCACCTACAAATCAGAACCGTCTACCAAAAAGATATTTCCCTCCCCACCCCTTTCCACAGGGACCGTTCATTCCATGACTCCCTCATCAGCTCTACACTCCCCACCAATCCCTCCACCACACCCAATACCTTTCCCTGCAACTGCACCTGCCCCTACACCTCCCCTCTCACCCCTGTCCAAGGCCCCAAACAATCCTTCCAAATCCAGCAGAGATTCGCCTGCACATCATCCAACCTGACCTACTGTATCCGTTGCTCCCAGTGTGGTCCCCTCTATTTCGGGGAGACCAAACGCAGTCTCAAGGATTGGTTCATGGATCATCTGCGCTCTGCACGCCACTTCAACCTAACCTCCCGGTTGCCATCCATTTTAATTCCCTCTCCCATTCCCCTGGCCAGATGTCCATCCTTGGCCTCCTCCCAACTGGAGGAATAACACCTGATATTTTGCCTTGGGAGCTTACAGCCCAATGGCCTCAATATTGACTTCTCCAGCTTCAAAATCCCTCCACTCCCAGTCTTGTCCCTCTCCACCCCCTCGCCTCCCTGACCCAACCTAAACTATGCATCTTCTTACTCACCTATCCGTTCCACCCTTCCCACTGACCAACCACAACGCCCCCCTGATCTGCATCCCCCATCACCATCCCACCTACCCTTCCCCCAGTCCCACCTTCCTCCCTCTATTTATTTCTGGGCTCCCCTCCTGCTCCCCAGTCCTGATGAAGGGTTTCGTCCTGTAACATTGACTTTCCTGCTCCTTGGATGCTGTCTGCCCTGCTGTGCTTCTCCAGCTTCACGCCTATTGACACTGGTTCTTGTCATTGATTCCGCTTTCCTTCCTGGCCCTGTCTCAGGTTGAGCCAATTTGTTTTCTAGTCTCTACTTCTGAACTTGACCTTCCCTTGACAATAAGATTGTAAGAATTAGGAACAGGAGTGGGCTATTTGGCCCCTCAAGCCTGCTCTGCCATTCAATAGGTTCAGAGTCATCCAACATGTCTCATCCGCTTTGTTTTCCTCATAACCCTCGATTCTCCTATTTATCAAGCATCTGTCGATTTTAAATGTACACAATGACTCTATGAGCCAGCCCCCACCCTCCCCCACCCCAGGCTGTCTATGGCGAGGAGTTCCAGAGACTCTCAGCCCTCTGAGAAAATAAATTTCCCCTTTATTTTGAGACTATACCCTCTGGCCCTAGACTCTCCCATGTGGGGGAAACATCCTGTCAGCATTCCTTTAAGAACCCTACATGTTTCATTTCATAAAATCCCTACAGTGTGGAAACAGGCCCTTTGGCCCAACAAGTCTACACTGACCCTCAGAGCATCCCACCCAGACCCATCCCCCTATAACCCAACTAATCTACACATCCCTGAACACCAAGGGCAATTTAGCGTAGCCAATCCACCTCACCTGCACATCTTTGGACTGTGGGAGGAAACCCACGCAGACACGGGGAGAATGTGCAAACTCCACACAGACAGTCGCCCGAGGGTGGAATCGAACCCGGGTCCCTGGCGCTGTGTAGCAGCAGTGCTAACCACTGAGCCACCATGCCACCCCAATTCTTGATAGAATTCAATTCTTCAATAGCTCATGTTTCTAAATTCCAGTGAGTACTGTCCTTATAAGATAATTCCTCCATATCAAGGATCACCCCAGTGAACCTTCTCTGAACTGCCTCCAATGAAATGATATCTTTCCTGAAATTAGGGGTCCATAATGCTCACAGTACTTCAGATGTAGTCTCACCAACACTTGGTTGCAGCAAGACTTAGAGTCATAGGAATGTACAGCATGGAAGCGGACCCTTTGGTCCAATTCGTCCATGCCAATCAGCTTTTCCAAACTAAA